CTGTTTTCGCTTTTTCGAACCGGTCCATGGTTTAAACGTGGTCTATGTTTACTTATAACTTAATAGAGACACGCCTAATATAAAAAATGCTGGGTAGTCGGAACAACAATGCTGATCAACTGAGTAGTCAATTCGTGACATCCATATAGGTAATTCCCGCGAAAATCGTCTCGGTTGATTACATATGCGCCATAGGGCTGTCAATCAAGAGGTAAACTTTTACTTCTGGTGAAAACGTAAAACCGCCATTTCTCCGCCAATATTTAGCCTTTTTCAAAAATTTTTTTCAGAAATTAGAGATTATTCTTCGACCTCTATTTTGACTCAAAAATCCAAATTTGAAGAAAATTGCCGACCCGAAGGTATACTGTAACCTTAAGTTGCAGTGAATTTATTCTCTAGCCACCTTTTTGTAAGGCAGCTATGTTGTTATGTTAATAAAGGCCAGGCTGCGTGGTTCGGCTTCGCATGGCCCCCAGCGGTGTGTGAGAACTAGAGATAAATCATCGCTCAGTTACACGTTTCCACAGTTTAGTTGACTCCCGGATTTCTTTACAAAAGATTAGTTTGTTGATTACCTTTCCGTGTGGTCGCGAGCACAGTAATCGATCAAGAATTGAACTTAATTTGCGCAATTTCCAAAATCAAATTACAATCGAAGACGTGCTTATATAACGAGCGATGAAAATAATCCAGATGTCGGGTTTGCAGTTCATCATTGATTTGAAGATTTTGCACCACCTAATCAGCGAATTAGGTGAAAAACCAAACCCAATTGGGAAGATCCTGAAGGGGGGTAAAATACCATTTTCAAGCCTAAATTTTTCCCAAATCCCATTTCCCAATCAAATGTCAGCTCAGTCTCATTACCATACCTTTGTTTGTGACTCCCAGTCCCAGTGACCCAAATACAAATTTTCCCAACGAAAGCTAGGAAAATCCTAGTTTCTGTTTAACTCCCACAGGACTCTCAGCCGTGATCTTGCCAGACGCATTTTTCCGCGCCTGGCACCGTTCATTATTAACAGTTTGGTCCATTGTGCTATGATTCGTTTTATGATTGCCATAGTGAACTGTTTATTTTTCGACACTCGATTGACAACTGCATTAGAAAAGTTAGCTTGTGTTCGGCTCCAATGGACGGCAGAACACAAGTTATAGAAGGCTGCATTTCGGATTCTAGCAAAGCTAAGGGGCTCAAGAAGAGAGATCAAAAGCAGTTCCTGTTCAGTAAGCGCTATTTTTGTTTTGGGTTCTGTCTCGGGCAGTTGGATTTTGACACGACCTTTTACGAGATCTGATTGAAACTCAAACAACTTTTGTTTCTCGAGCGAGAATCAGTACTGGTCATGGGCCTAACAAAGTATAGTAAAACGCCTCTAAAATAAAAGGAAAATATTTGGTCGGTGTTCTACTGGGTATCTGAAACATTCGTGAAAGCTTGGGAAAACTACGAAAGGGTGTCGCAATACACTCTCGTGGTTTCGTTACCCATTGCATTTCTCATTCTCCCAAACTACCATTAATTCGTGTTGCTAATTAACGTAGCAGGAACAGAGAAAATGTTTCCTTTTTCTAAAGTTAAAATGCTTCTGTTTAAATGTTAATTCTAGGTAGTAAGGTCAAAAGGATGCGACGAAATATCAACCCAACTCCACTGAAAGACAATTCTATTTTATCACGATCCTCGGCGGATAACAGTGCGGATATGATGACGACAACCATTCTTATACAATCGTCCACACCAACGGTGCCACTTCTGTCTACTCCATCACTCGCTCCTCCGCCATCAAATTTGCTGGATAACATTACATCACCCATTCCCGTACAGTCGCCCACACCAGCGATGAGTGATGAAGACGTAAACATCACCATGCACTGCCAAAGTTACTGGTTTTCCTGCAGACGGCGGTGCACGCAAAAAAGAGAACTGGGAGGAACAGAAGAAAGACTTCAGTGTTTCTGTGACCGCAACTGTGTTTTTTTCAAAGACTGCTGCGCGGACTTTGACCAATATTGTTCCTTGTCCGGGATATCAGAAGTAGATACAAACAACCCGGATGACAATGGCCTGTGGGAGTGTATCTCTAGACATGGCTCCTTCGCCAAAGCTGCTGGCATATGGATGATTTCCTCGTGTCCAAGAAAGTGGACTCAGGTTGATATTAAGGAACGTTGCGGTAGAGATTTATTTCCTTCGTACGACAATCTAAAAGATAACGTGCCTGTTATCGACGGGGAAGGGAAAACGTTTAAAAATCGTTACTGTGCGCAATGTCATGGCTTAAATCTTACTGATCTGACATTTTATAATTTTGAACTCGACTGTGACGTCCCAGTACCAAAAGAGTACGAACGAAAAGAAATATTGAGCTTCGTTTCCGCTTTCTGTGACCGTCCTTTATGGCGTCCTCCAGTGCAAGCGACACGCAGGTACTGTCATAGGGTCCGACCTAATCTTAATTGTAATGACAATTCCCTTCATCCAAACGTGCAACAAAAATGTCTTAACGGATCTTTGAGACTTGCATACCAGACAGGTGGTTCAGATAAAACGACATTTTTCAATCCATACTGCGCTCTTTGTAGTCATTTAAAAACGACTGAACTGAGATGTGGCCCAGGACCATCTACTATTGGAAAAGATGGGACACTCGCAAAGCCCTTCTCTCTTGTCATGGATCTTGACTTTTCTGATCAGGATCATCGCTGGAGGGAAACGTCAAAAGTCCGTGGACTGAAGGTAACTTGCCGTCATCGCTATGTTTATGATTTTCATCTTGAAGTGTGCCGTCCCGGCATTGCACCCTCTGACGTCGCCACTGTCCGCGAGAAAACCTTCATCGTCAGTGTTTGGATGCGTTCCAATGTCGAGGCCTTGTCACCTTGGTGGCCTCTGATAACTAAAGTAAACTTTAAGGAAGCAATGGCGAAAGAGTTAAAGATGAACAAGTCTCTGATTTCTAACATCTCTATCGGAAATCCTTCGGGTCCCGTCTCCACTGTAGTGTTCAACATCAACATTAACCCCACGAAACAGACGAACGTCTCTACCCAATCTCTCCAAACTGCCATGAGTTCTCTTTCAATTATTCTAAACTATGCAAACTTTACTTTCTTTAAAATTACCGTGAAACCCTTTCACTGTGCTAAAGTTCAAACTTTCACGCCAAATGAATATACTAAGTCTGAAGGAAACGCAGTACGAGTTTGGAAAACAGGAGAAATATTTCAAGAAGCGGACTATTACACGGACGAAACGGAATGGTTAAACGGATCCTTAGTTCCTATCGGTAACCTTACAGTCTGCAAACAGCCGCGATTAAACTGTTCTGGGGTTTTAGTTGGGTTAAACGAGAGCGAATACATTATGTTACCAAACGGCTCACTTTATCGAAAAGATTCCCGTGAAATCTTCGAACTAGAAAGGTTTCTCATGAACAATGATACCATCTGGGTTTGTGCACAGTTTTCTTCAAGTTACGAAGTAAATGGAAGCATTGATCATCAGAGTAAAACAGATGGTGACTTTGCCTTAGTGGTTATTACCTATGTTGGACTTTCCCTGTCCATTGTAAGCTTTGTTTTAGTCTTGTTAACTTATTCATTATTTAAAGAACTTCGTACTGTACCTGGAATTAATCTCATGAATCTCTCTTTGTCACATTTACTAGTTGATTTGGTTTATCTTGCAACAGGCTATGTTGAAGCCAAAGTTCCATGCACAATTATTGCCATTTTGTTGCACTATTTTTTCCTAGTTTCTTTTGTGTGGATGTCAATCATCGCCTTAGAAACTTGGAAGGCATTCTCTAAAACCCGCATCAAACACAGAAATTCAAGCGGAGGGAAGCAACGTTCCATTTCATCGCGAAGAATTGCAGTGGGTTGGCTTCCTGCCTTTGTAATTGTCGTCATGTGTATTGCTCTTGACCAGTCCAACGCGGTTGGCTTTCACTATGGGGGTATAAAGGGGTGTTGGATAAACAATTCAATTGCAAATTTGTTTTCCTTTGTATTACCAGTTGCTCTTTCCATTTCATTTAATACGGTATTTTTCGTCTTGACTGCAAACGCCATCAGGAAAACAAGCAAGGTGGCGCAGAGAGCGACACATGAAACGGTGAAACGTAAAACTGCTGTGGTGTTTTTAAAGATCTTCATCTTGATGGGCTTTACTTGGATATTCGGATTTTTAAAGGTTCTGGTTTCTCATTATTTTGAATACCCATTTATCATATTCACCACACTTCAGGGACTGTACGTGGCGCTAGCATTTGTGTTTACATCGAGAGTCAAACAAATGTATCGCTCTCTCTTGTGTAAAGCGAAGACCAATTCGGGTACTGGGAGAGAAGATACGCGACTGTAAACGGCAAAAAATTGTTTCCGTTATCTTTGGTCCGAATCCATCATAGTTAGTAGAGAAGAATCTGAATCCATGTAGTCACAAAAAGGGACATTAAGTATCAGGATAAACATTGTATAGATAAATCATTTAAATGTAATTTAAAAGAAAAGGTTTGATAACGGATATCTCTGAACTTGCTCATCAGATTAATGCAGCCCTATGATAGTAGACTTCGTTTGTTGTTAGTGCTTTGAACTTTAATGGTGGAATCAAAAATTAGTACCACTCAGCTGAGTTATATTGGAAATTATATAGTATGTCGAATTATTCTCTCATTTTGATTTGTTCTTACTTATGATCAATTGGAGGAAGACGCATATATGAAGGCATTAACATTTTTTTCTATTTCATTATATAAAACAAATAGATTCCATGTTGCAATGCGTCTGTTCAGTAATAGATCACAGAAGACGTCAAAATGTGTTAAGAACATCAGTGGCACACTCGGCTATGGGCTATCGACTATCGCCTCGTGTGCACATTTTGACGTCATCTGTTATCAATTTAACAAATTGACGTCAGTTTTTTATGCGTCTGTCCTCTTATTGATGATAAATTGCGTCATGACATTGTCAAAGTGGCTGTGGAACCACGAGCCGCAGGCAATTTAGTAATTGGCAATTGTTTGTGTTCATTTCACTAGCAAAGCAGAGATATTCAAACCGGTTGTTGACAGGTACAATTAATATCTATTTCAAGTTTTGATTCCAGTTGTTTACGTATCTCGTCTCTAGAACAAAAATAAGGTTATACATCCATCACCAGCCACTATGCCTGTTTGACACGGCTGTGTTTGACATGATTGGACAGTAAATCTCTCTCACAAAAAGTAGATAGTCTCTTGGATGCTAATTTGTCTATCCATCAGTCAAATTTTAGAGCATGTTTACTCGATCGTCGATGTTGACATGTATACCATTCATGAAAAAATGCTCACTCTGGTCGAACTGCGTAGAATACAGAAGAAATGTAGTGTGAAAAACAAAAAAAATTAAAAAATTAAGCAATCTGAATTTTTTGCTTGAAGTAAGCTTATTTTAAAATACAAAATAATTAAATCACGGGTTTCGAATTTAAGATACGAGCACCGCCAGAATTTCAATGTGTACATAAAAAAAATACAATACAAAAACAGCCTACCTTAGGCTTGCCTTGGACTCTAGAAGGAGGGAAAGCGAGAGGAAAACCAACAAATTCTCTAACCAAGAAAAAAAAACTATGAGCCACGTCTGGTAAACACGATCTCACTTCCTGACTTTGACTTGTAACAATTCTTTGACCTCGCCGGCTGCGCTGTGGTGACCAATACATGATCACAGTCATAAATACCTCTCTCAGCTTTCATCTACGTGTGAGCAAAGCCCTAGGCAAAATACTTCATATTTACAAAAGCGAAACACATGAACCAAAATGGCCGCGCTCAACTTTAAAGGTCTTTGAGAAACTCGTACCCAGGCTCTCCATGTTATCGGCCAAAAGTTTACATCTGAGTGAGTGAACATTTGCATATTTTGCCCCATACTCATAGTCTTTTCTACGCTTCGCGGATCCACGACTAAAAATCATTGTACGTAAATATGTACCAGACATGCTAAAAAGTGAAAGGAGAAACAGTTTCAATTCTGGCTACATCTAAAGTACTTTCAACTCGAAGTATGTACCTTTTATACGGATATAAGGAGGAAATATAAAAGTGAACATAATGGCTCATATTTAACTTTTTATGGCACATAGAAATTCCGTTTGACAAAATGAGTAGTGATTATTGAACGCAGTTAATTTTATTTCAACCTAAGTCAAAGTAAGAGTCACGAACTTTAGTAAGATGACTGAGTAAGAATTCGAAATTTGTTTTCAATTACGGTTCTTTTTGTGCGAGAGACAGCATTTATTAGCATCAACCGTATAAAAAACTACACAACAACTCATATTTTAAGAGTTACTTACTTATGTTTAAGAGAAAGAGATAATTAAGAGTGGATGTCTCTAAAAATCANATCGATTTTTGGCCGTGTCCGCGATTTTTCCGATAATCTTTGATTTTTACTGACATTTACTCTTAAGTATTCTTTAACTTTATATAACTCAGCGATGTTCCAGATGTAGATACAGTTTATAAACTGTGTTAGCTTGAAAATGAAGTGTAAGTAGGAACTAGGAACAAAATTCTCCGTAACATTAAAAGGGACATAAAAGCATCACTTCTGGTCTTGTATTTAATAATCCGAAAGTGATAATTCCAGTCAGTTCTATTCAAAGGTATGTATCCCACATTCCGTCAGTACACCAAGCTTCTTCCAGTAAACGTCGAATGTATGACACTCCGTGGTGTTTTTCTACATTCTCTTCAAAACAAAGGTTCATAACTTCATGCACCTGAGGAAAAATCAACTTAAAATTAGCCAAAAATATTTAATGTGTAAAAATCAAGACAATCGTAGCCACTGACAAAACAGTCGTTGTGCTCATACTTTGACAGTTTTTTTTAAGGGCTAATCAATAGCTAAAGGATACGGGATTCATTTTGAAAAAACTCAACACAATGAGAGAATTTCCTCGTACCAGGAGCTTAGATTTGACTTTGTCTTACAGAGCACCCGAAATGTTATACTTCAATCTTGGGTTCTCATCACAAAAACTTTAACATGGATTTAAATCTCTCCGAAGTTTAATTGCATGCATCGATTCTTTCTTGGTCAAGATATGGCTATTTTTTGAATCTGTGTTTGATTTAAGACAAACACGCGTGATGGTAGTAGTAGAAGCGTTTCGTCGAATTAACGTAACAGTATCTTTCAAAACGTGAAATAAGAAATGAAAAATGACAAAGCGTTTAAATATAGCCCATTGCCTATTTCCATCATTGCATAGCAATTGCGGAGAAGACCTTCAAAACTTCGTGATTTTGTTGGACTCTGTAGAATACCAACACCTTTGGAGATGAGGCACAACTAAACTTTGTTTAATGCAATTCCTCTCTGTGGAATCGAAAGGGTTATATATAGATGTTAGAAAAGGTTTCGCAATCTACACCCAACACTTGGCAATGAAACAAGCAAGGTAGGTATCTTTAGATATCCTGTGAGACTAGAGACTAATGACACGTACAGTAATGCATCATCCTTTTCTGAACTACAAACAGTGACATTTATTTACCTTGTTGTATTCACTGGAGCCATGGCAGTTTTCTAATAAGGTAGCTAACAACTGTCCAAATTGCTCAATATCGTTGCTATAGTTACTCTGTTCATCGACCGACCCGTTGCCATGGGCACCGGCTTTCTTCAAATTGGACGCTCGAGAAAATCCACCCAAGACTGCTCTTATAGGGGGAAGCTACAGAGAAGGTATTGTTCGAGTAAGAATAGGTTGTGTTTAGAAAAAGAGGAAAAAAATGCGAGGAATATAGTTGAAATATTTCCCGCTTGACGGGACACGTTTTTTCTTCTAGGCCCTCTATGTCATAGTAGTTATGTAATCTTACTTAGTTTAATTTTATGTTTGTTCCCAAATACACAGTTTTACTTTGTTATTTTGTTTTCTTGGCGCACCTGTAAACTAACCGGTGCGTCCTATAGACTCTGCCTATCAGGTTCATGGGACGCACCGTTACCATAGCTAACTGTGCGACCAAGTAAAATAAACTACGTCTTTGTCTATGCACAACACTTTTGAATCAGTGCTTCACGAACTAAAATTGTCGGTAAGGTCAAATAAGCTTATTAAGTGACGAATGAGTTGAACATTGCCACTAATATTGGCGAGAAACTCTCACCCCGAGAATCATTTCACTTCCCACTGAATCCAAGCCAAGCAAAGTTAGTCGGTGTATATCTGTACAAGTCAAGATCACGGTCACCGCGAATTTTTATATTCGTCACTATGGCACGGGATAAAATATAAATTCTTTTGTCCAAAAATGAAAGAAATAAGGATATGCCAAAGATCTTACTTTGAAACGCCTCATAATCTAAACGCAGTTACATACTGCCGAGAGAAATTTTAAAAAGTACACCGACAAAAAAAATTGAGGGGAAAAACACAAAACATGAAATAGCAAATCAGTTTACTTACTCTTGGGCACTGACCAATCAGAATATTGCTTGTTGAAATGTTGTTATGGAGTATCCCAAGATCCTGTAGTCGTTCTATGGCGCTGATGACGTCATAGGCAATAGCACACACTGCATCGAAGTTAAGAACAGTTCCTTTCTCGCAAAGGAAATCTTCCAATGTTGAACTTGACACAAAATCGTAGCAAATAAGACTTAAAGAAAGAAAAAAGAAATCGAATAAAACCAAAATGAATTAGTTAGTATAGTGTATTGAGCTTAAACTTCTCCATCTGTTTGTGACTTAACCACGTCTGTAACAGATTCTTGCTTCTTTTAGTTTTTTTTCCGCGCGCCTAGTCACGAAATTAATACGCATTCACGTGGATGAACAATTACAGCTACCCAGTTTCAACATTTTATAACTGGATGCCTGTAGAAGACGAGCTCCGCCATTTGCTATTAGATTCTATTCACTTTCCTGCTCGTTTCCAACTGTTTGTAAAGCACCAATGACTTGTCACTCAAGAAGATCCCAAATGATTCTTAACCTCGAAACTTTCTACTATACTGTTGATTATCGACGTTAGTAGACCAGATTCACATTTTGCTTTCTGAATCTGACCCTAGTCGAAAAATGGAAAGAGTAGCGCTTCACTACACTAAAGTTTAACTAACGAACACCCCGCTTAAGATATAAATAACATACAAACTAAAAGAACTTACAAACTGTTTGAGTGTAACGCACGAATATGCTCTTTCCCATGTTCAAGTTTTTGGTCGCAAGCTGGAGAGCAACAAATAATGATTAAACGTAAACAGATATCCTGTGGGAGATTTAACAGAACATACAGCATAAGGGCTCTGTACAATTTCCCCTTGCCTCCCCTCTGGCTCTGTAAATCCATATGGCGCCGCAAAGATCGAATGAGCTTGATGGTAAAAAAGCATGGTTTACCTCTACAAGATGTCAAGCCTTCCCACCATCATGCACCTGGCTCGAGAGAATACTCACAGTTACAGTTTACATAAGTACAGGCTTGCTAAATAGATTTAGTAGACGGTTGCTTGCCTTTGGAGTGCCAGCGATAATGAAGTAGATTGGCATGCGGCTCTACACCACAAGACAGGCTCTGTACTATATCAGCCTCTCGATGCCATTCTTCTTTCAATTCTTTCTCAAAGTATTTCAGAAGCACCATACTTAAAATGTTTCCTTCTTCGCACCAAGCTGTAACATAACCCTGAAACAACGAAAGACAATAGCTTTTAAAATTCTCAATAAATGGCTTAGTGTTCATTTAAATTTTCAGTTATCATTTATCTCTCCATTCATTCATTGATTCATTCACTCATTGATGTATTGATTGATTTAGTCAGTCAGTCAGTCAGTCAGTCAGTCAGTCTCTCCTCCACTTCATGCTGAACAAATTTTAAAGTGTATTATCACTGTGTCGTTTTCCAAGGCTTACTGTCCTACAAGAATAACATTCTCTTAGGCACTCACTGTTGAACGGTTTCCTGCAGTGTCGTCTTGGAGTATGTTAACTTCTTCAATCAGCCTCAGCTCGACATGAACTTGTCTGCTCTCTTGTTCCGGTGTTCCCACTGCTTTGGGTAATTGCGAAGGACTGGAACTGATGTTGGATTGAGCAGTGTTGTCACCATGATTTCTCAGTCGAGCAACCGACTGATTTTCATCTTAAAATGGATAAAGAAAAGCAAAAGTTCTTTAGAATTGTTCACAAAGACCCATGAAATATAGCTGGCAGTTAATTATATCCCTTAAAAGAATTGCCGGTTTACAGTCTAGTGTTGTAGTACTGTGAAAGTTTCTTCCTCCTGTCTTCTGCGGTCAACAGCTCAGCGGCATTAAACCTTCAAATTAGGATCAAATAAAGCCTTCAGTTATAAGCAAAACAAGTCGAATACTTCAGCGCACTCTTTTCGTTCATGGATTGTCAGCTTGTTTCGATTCGTAGCTCAAATGAATAGGGAGTTTAAGAAACCACCACGGCGACGCAGAGGACAACGTCGGTTAAAAAATGAAGTTATATTTTACCTACGAATCTCGCGATATCCTAGATTCATGTAGTTTGTTTCTCACTGTCAAAATTACCTCGAAACTGAATATGGAACACAGTGTTCAATTCTGAATATAAATTTAAAAAATTAGCCGTTGTCGTTCACGTTCTCCAGACAACGCAGAATTTCGTCATTTCACGTTGTTGTTTTGCAGAGGACGGCAAAGAAATGTACCAAGAATTATAACACACGTGCACAGCCATTGTTTTGCTCCTTAAACCTTTTGTTTAGCGACGTTCCTGTTGCCGTTGTCGTCGTGGTTTCGTTAAACTCCCGAATACCTGGAAGTTTAGGGATTATACCATATTGCTAGGCAGGCAACGTGACCTCATTTGTTTGCAGTTCAATGAAGAAAGAGTCCAAGAACTTTCTTAGGTTTTATGACAGTATTAGTGTTCCTTGGAGTGCGTATGAAATACGAAAGATACGACTAATCGCTAAACTAATAAACTCGCTCAGTTACAAAAACGGTCATCTACTTTTACCATTTGCACAAGAGCTAGTCACTTGTTGTATGCGTTACATGAAATAAATACAGCTTTAATTTTTTATTTTATTTTAGCTTTTTAAAGGACTGGTTCAACCTACCTGCCCCTCGGCCGTTTATCGTCTTCATAACGAAACCAGTGACTTTTTTTCTCCTCTGGGTTAAGCTTCGTTTGGCCCTCTCGGTGGAAAACGTGTACAGAATTGGATTGAGGGAAGAGTTCAGTGGAAGAACAAACACTGCTATCCACACATAAGCAATTTTGTCTGGATCGTCAAAATTTCCAGTCAGAGATAAAATGTTGATTATAATTATTGGCATCCAACAGCAAAAGTCTGTCATCACAATGAAGACAAGCCGCTTGGCCATGGCGGATTCTTTGTTTAAATTTGTCGATCGCACAGCTCGGGACGAGCGCTTTACTGTCCAAAACATTGTAATGTAGGCGACGAGGATAAACATGAAAGAAACGAAGTTTAAACCGACGAAAAAGACAACAGAATATTCCCATCCCACTGGTCTTCCTTCAGACAGCTGAAGAGGAAGGCAAACGGCAGAGCGGCTGTAGAAACCAAAGTAACCGCTGTTGTCGTAAAAGTAGTCGAACCCTGCGATGGGAATTACAGATATGACGACACCAAATATCCACACTACTATACATGCAAAAGAGGCAGTTTTGAAAGTGAGGCGCTTGAACTTGAAAGGGAAGACGATACAGAGAAATCTGTCCATTGTAATAATGGTTAGAATCAGCACAGATACTTCACTGGAGAGCATGGAAAGAACTCCGACAATTTGGCACCCCAGCCCAGATCTCCAATCGATGTCATGCTTAAAGTATTCCCCTCGCCATCTGACGTCCATAATTGCGATTGTCAATAGATACACGCCCATCAACATATCGGCAACTGCCAAATTTGTTAGCAAAAAAGAATGAACCCTGTTCTCTTCCTTATCAATGATCCGCCATATTATGACAAGGAGGTTACCGAGGAAGGCAAGGATTCCGAGAATCCAAATACAAATCTGGACAGTTTTGTTTTTCATGAGGTCGTCACAGCTTGAGAATTCATCGACTGGAGACTCACAGTCAACTCCTACGATTGATTTCTCGGCATAGCAGCAGAGAATGAAGCGATCCAGTTTCCTGTGTGAAAATTGCAAGAAATACCAATTCACTTTATTGCTTTGAGATGATACACCATATAACAGCTAGCTGTATACATTTATTTCAATGTTAGTTTAAATAACTCTGGGTATTTCTTGTCACTTTCTGTTTCTAGCTGGAGCTGACACAATTTTTTTACGTGCCACTGCTCTAAAATTCATTCTTCTGTACTAAAAGGGTGAAGTGATAGAGATAAACTGAATCGAGTGCATAACAGACATTACTCACACATATTTCAGGTTGGTCAATTCACCAAATGCATCTGAAGGTACTTTAGCGAGTTTGTTTCTGTCCAGATACCTGTGTGGAAAAATGATGAGAGTTTTTTTTTAAATCAAAAATGCACGCCAATTAAACGTTCCTGTCATTACTGCACCATAGCTATTTTATTAAAAGTTATTCTTTTAACAATATATTTTACCTACATCACATTACCTACGATACAATACATTTCACTACATTCCTAAGTTATCTACACTGGTATTCCTTAATTTACTTACATAGTTAATTGCTAAGCGCGAAAAAAAGACTTCGTATCCCTCCTAAAACTTGAACGCATCATCTTTGCGATTAAGATTCCTTTTAACTTCTTCCATCATCCTTTAGATTATCCTGTGCGATTAAGATTCCTTTCAACTTTTTCCATCATCCTTTAGATTATCCTGTGCATATTTTTGTTCTAATAACGTTTCCGGAACTACAAAAGAGGCATACTATACTAACCTTCAATTTTTTTTGTGTTTTGTTTTTCAATCTGGCCAGCACATTTTTCACACCAAACTATACATTGTCAAAATTATCGAAACATTATCTCTCGCAACATAACGTACTTACAGGTATTCTAACGAGATCAATCCTCGAAAAGTGTCCTTCGAAACTTCAGTCAGTTCATTGCTGCTTAGATTCCTGACAAAAAGACGACATTTAACCAGGAAAATTAGAACGCCGTTACACAGAAAAACAGACCATGTTACCACCTGAGTTGATCGCCCAATAAACAACTTAGAGACATTTTAATTGCTTGCCCAGCAGAACTGGAGGGAACCCAAAAACCAACAGTAGTCAAGAATGCGTAAAATATTATATACTCACAATAACTTCAGTTGTGACAGAGCTCCAAACAGGCCATCTGGTAATGTTGTGAGCTTGTTTTCCTGGAGGTACCTTAGTAACAGTAAACAAATATTTCACATTCGGATATGAATGTGAGGGTACATTGTAATCAGGGAAGGCATATAATTAAACGATTTGTACAGGGAGTGTGACCGGGGATCCTGTCGTATGCTTTTACCTGGAGGTCTGAACGCTTTAACACGGTGTGTATGGCAAAAGTTAGTCCATATTTGATTAATTTCATTATCGTTCCAAGGGAGTAATTGTTAACTGTCATGGTACATTGATCGCACTTTTATTCCCTTTCCCCTTTTAAATTAACCATTTTACGAACGAATTATTAACGTTGAAAGAAACGATCTTTTAAATCAAATGGACACGAGTTTAGTAACGACACAAAAGTCGAATGTACTCACAAGTGGTTCATGTTGCTATTGTTTCCAAACACTCCATATTCCAACTCATTTAACTGATTTGAACGCAAGCCCCTTAAAGAAATAGAAATGCAAAAAATTGCGTTCAATTCAACACTCTTGTAAACTTGAACGAAATTACAAACAATAACTGTGAAATTTTAAGCACTCACAAAACTTCTAACTGAAGCAGTCCATCCAATAATCCACTAACGGCTTTGCGAAGAAGGTTTGCTCCTAAATCACTGAAAAAAATCAAACGTTCCATTAAGACTAGGTAAGACAACTTCTAATAAATACAACCTCTCCCAAACAAGCCTTCGCTGCATTTAATTAAATAATTTAATCCAGTTGGAATTAGGTGTATGAAGAAACGTTATAAAAATAACAACTTGTACAAATACTTACAGGACGCGTAAACTAGGAAGTCCACTGAACGCCCCAACAGGGAGAGCACGAATAAAGTTAAAATCCAGTCTCCTGGAAAAACAAGAAACCTAGTAAAAAATAAGAAACCGCGCGCGCCGCTGGCTGCGAAAAAATCGAACTGTCTGTGATGGTGTAATCTGCAATCGAACAGCGATCACTAAGATCAGCATATATCCTAACACATTCAGTTTGGTGGATTCTGATATACAGAGGATTTCTCGAACCCTCGATCTTGCGCACTTCGGATAACTCGGACCAAACGTCGTTCCCCTCTCACCAGTTGAACATTAATTGAAATGTTATCCCAAATTTCTCGAAACACCCGATATTTGAGAGGTTTCCTAGAGGTTCGGAAAATCGGAGTTATAATGTAATTCCAGGTTTAATTAAACGGCGAAACCTCCATTAAGATGGTTACAACAACAAGATTTCTATTAAATCTAAAAATTCAATGTCTACACACATAGAATAACATTAACACTGTCTAAAATGTATGCATCTTATAAGGCATTGAAGTTAATTACAGTACGGAGAAGTAGGTTTGACACTTTCATCACAAAGCCTGAAAAATTAATAAAAACTTCAAAAGTCAGGCACCTTCCTAACTCGAGATCCACGATTACAAAGGTCAAGTGTTAAAATGACAAAGCCTGAAGCTAGAAAGTTATACAGATACCACAGTCAAATGTCACCGCATTTGTTGTCTGTTGTTGATGTTGCCGTAGTTGTTGCTAGCGTTGATATCTACTGTTGGATACTTACAGAGTCTTGACGGACGTTACATTATGGAAAGACTCTTCATCAAGGTGAATGAGAACATTGAAACTCATATCGCTGCAGGGAAAGAAAGAAAGTGCGTTTATTAACCTTACTGACAAGAATCCTTGTTGTTTATACAAAAGCACAACAAGAGCCAATGAGGAGCATAGCCCAAGTACACAAAGGAGGCAATGAGGAGCGCAGCCCAAGTACACAAAGGAGCCAATGAGGAGCGCAGTCCAAGTACACACAAATTCAGTCCCGATTATCAAGGTATCGCTTTTATCATGATGTGAAAATAACCCTAATAATTCACTTTCCCCCTCCCTCCCCCCCCCCAAATTTTGCATAAACTATTGTTGTAAAATGCTGTTGGGAATATACAGACCTGCAAAGAGCATTTCACAACAAAAGTTTGCGTTATATTGGGGGGCAAATAGAACGAATTATGGGGAATTGGAAAATAGATAAACACGACTGATTTATGATTCACGTGAATCCCGAGATTTAGTTCTTTCTTTTAAGGAAAACAAAAACCACTCTTAACTGAAAACATCAATCAACTCACATATATTCCAGTTTCGGGAGGTCTGCAAAATCCTTCTCCCGTAGCTGGGAGATCCGGTTTTGCTGGAAATGCCTGGTGAACAGGTGACATTACATTAGAAACACCTTAAAAATACCTAGGAACTATGAAATCATGGCTTTTAAAACAAGGACACGTGCTGTATTGAAATTAACCAAAGCCTTAAGCTTGACACCAGCCGCAGCTAGTATAAATAAATCAATCAAAAGCGAGAGAAGAAAAGTAAAAGTTGTGACTTCTTTGCTCTTTACATACACTGCTCCAGTGTTGAAAGGAAGGTTTCTCGGAACAGTAAGCAAATCCTCTCCAGTGACCAGAATCTTCTTGCGTTGATTTTCGCCAAACTCTTTGCATTCGCAGCTCGACGGACACCCTAAAAGCAAATTCCCTCGTCAGAGTATAGTAATCATAACTTATCCTCAATTAACACTGATAACGTTAGATAAACGGAGGCAAGTTGGAAGGTTGTAAGGTTGTAGAAGAAGACCAGTAAAAGGATTGTCACAAGACGGTCAAAACTTCAATTGCCAGCTGACAACGAGGTCTTCCGACTAATGTCTAAGAAATAATAAAAATTACAAACAACGCTTGGCTGTGATTCAGAAAGAATGTACGAAAAATAGTTGATAAATGGTTGAAATTTCAAGTTCAAGCAACCCTTAAATATTGAAACGTGTTAACTATCCATCCCCAGGGTAAATGGATCTCCTCCTTAAAGCTTGAAAAATTGTGAAGCTTATCCTAAGATGACGTTATTGTTTACCTTGTTGACGCAGACAAGACGATTCTGAATACTGAAGAGCTGAAAAATAAAAGAATGAACCAATAGACCACTTTCGGTATATTAAAATTCAGCTTGGCAGCGAGGCCTAGAGGACGCAAACAAAGGAAATTCAATGACAATGTTTATTCATTTCTTTTGTTTGTGTCCTCTAGGCCTCACTATCAAGCTGAATTTTAATATATCGAAAATGGTCTATTACAAAGTCATTGTAGTAGTCATCTTTAAACATTCTACGAGTTAAGAAGAGTTTAGTCTTTATTACATTTATTATACGACTGAGAAAATTAATGAAAATTGCGATGAAAAAAGCAGGCCAAGTTATCGTTAATTCTTAATTTGCACTGAAGTGCAAATTAACGCGCGCGCGTTCGCAATTTTCTCGGTCATATTATAAATGAGTAATCGTGATTGGCTGAGAGCAGGCCATTTAATTTTGTAATTGAATCAAAATAACAGCGCTCCTCTTAGTCGCAGCTTAAACGAGAAGTTCTACTTATTTTCTGGGACGTATAGTTTCTGATAAAATGTCTCAGGTTTGCTAAGAATACTCTGATAAAACCTATAAGTTATGTCATTTTGTTTGTTAAAATGGTCATGTATATGAAGACATGATTGATCATCGCAGTTATGCACACAACTTAAGCCGTTGGGAGATTAAAGCCTGAAAAAAAAAAATTCAGGCTTTAATTTCACAACTGCCTAAGTTGTGTGCATAACTGCGATGATCAATCATATCTTCACATCTTTCTCCGCAGTTCAAATATATGATCTTTTATATATTCATTTGTATGGTCATGTATAGTTTGCTTTCATGGAATAATGACCTATATTCAGTTTCCAGGGCGCTTTCACAAGGTGCCAAAAGTGTAAAACTAGAAGGTTCCCCCGGTATTTCTCGGCTGACAGGTGAAAACGTGGGATGCCCCTGTCCCTTTTGTGGAAGGTTCGAATTTAAGGCTTTCCAACTTTTTTATCAGGAAATACACGATAATGCAAATACAAGCTATTGCTAAACATACAGAACTTCACATACCACCAACAGCGTAATAGAGGGCCTTAAACCTTGCTTTGTGCAAATTTCCACTACAAGAAAGGACAACCGTAAAATGATTTGACGACGAGACTAAGATAGGAGGATACATATAGCCACAGAATCTGCCTTTTATGGGTGCTGTCTTGTCGCGCCCATCAAAAATCTGAAGAAAACAGTTTTCGCACATGGGATCATCTTTGAGTCGGAATTCTTGGAATTTCAGGTTAATGACGTAACCAGGTGGGACGGTGATGTACCACGCGCAGAACATGTCATCAAGATAATATCCAGGAAATGATGGAGAGAAGAAATATCCTGACATGTTGAATAAGTTCTCACTGCAAGCTGAAATAGCAAGTGTAAAAAGATTTAATCCGTTAATCCCCAATATACACGCAAATTCTCCATGCATGAACTGTCTTCACATTGTTGCTTTAATTGTGTTACTTAAGGAAACTCTTCATCTGAAAGTAAACAAGGGCGCTTTCACTAAGTTTATCAAACAATCAGAAAATAAAGAATTAAAGTGGTACTATGACGAAAATCGCATCTTTCCTATCTAAGCGATTTAAAACATAAACAAGTAGTCTGCATGAGAAGAAAAATGCCGTTTACTATTTTCAAATATCTCTTTTCGTTCTAGAGATATTCAAGTTTTTAAGTTATGCAAATTAGTCAAGTGATGACGTCATACACTCAACCAAATGTCGATCAAATATTATGAAGAAAGATATCTCGGCCAATTTGTATCAGAAGTCTTTGATTCTTTGCAGTAAGATTCTACTAAATGTGCTACACAATACAAGCTGAACAGTTTTGTTACTATGGCAACATACTGGGTTCCAGACCTCCCCAATATTAAAGGCTTTTCTGGCCACCTTTGGTGTTCCATTTTGATATTTGCTAATGGTGCCTCATATGCATGATTCAGCAAGCATACAAATATGTTAGCTCGAGTTCGTGGCCTCATTTAATGTTTTGCGAGTTGAAAATTACTAACATGTTGAAATTAAGTGGGTGGGGATTGGAAAGGAGTCAGTTGCTATGGGAACAGAATTTTTCATAGTACAGAATTTTTCATAGTGTGTTGCCTGTAGAACTATTAGCCTGCCAAGTTTCAATGGTCTGTGCTGCAAATTGACTGAGATAGCTCTATTCATAGACTTGATATAATATTGGGTTGAGTGTATGACGTCATCAGTCATCTCATTTGCATATTTCACACATTTTTCAAACTTAAATATCTCCAGAACTAATGTAGATATTTGCAAACGGTAAACGGCCTTTTTATTGTTCCATGGAATTCTATGTGATAAACCTAAAAAATCAAGGGGTAAAAATTTGATCATAGTACCACTTTAAGCCCCGGCCAAACGATATCAACATTTCAACTCAACATGACGCAACACTGTTGGGTCCAACATGTTGCACGCGATTGGCCACCCTGTTGCGATGTGTTGCGACGTGTTGCGACATCTTGGGTGTTGTTGGCTCAAATTTGAAAATGGTCAAATTTTTCATGCAACATTTGGGGATGTTGCATGATATTGTAGTCGTTTGACCAGGTTGGTGCAACAATTTTGCACCCAGGCATGCGCACTAGTTCGATTTTCAATACCCAACATGTCGCAACACGTCGCAACAGGGTGGCCAAATGCACGCAACATGTTGCACCCAACAATGTTGCGATATGTTGTGCTGAAATGTTGCGATCGTTTGGCCGGAGCTTGCCAATGCTGGGCCAACGATGTTGCGATATGTTGTGTTGATATGTTGTGATCGTTTGGCTGGGGCTTTATTCTAACCCGGGAGATCGCACTAGTCCCCTCGACCAATCACAAACGTTTATCCACTCGCATTCGATTGGCTCATAAACAATGGAATTACGTAGTGCACGGGGTCAGAACATACAAAATGAATTTTTATGAGAAATACCACCTCTATCGCCTCGTTGTCGCAAGTGATCGAGCAACTTTCAATGGCGAATATTTCCCGCAAAATTCATCAGCAGCAATGCAATCAAGTGAGCTTATGTTACAGCTTAAAAATGCGCCGAGCGGTGAAACCACCCCTTGAATAATCGGAAACCTACGAAGAAGAAGCACAACTGAGTTATTTTTGTTACCTTGTTTGGCCGACAGTGGCTCGTGTTTGCAATATCTCTCTCCGTCAATGTACAGTCCAGTCAATGCTATTAAGTCATTACTCTTTTCTGCTTCACCTTTTATCGATACCTATCGGTACAAATCAAATGTATGAATTAGTAGTTCTTGAATTACTCAGACCGCGGTCTTAATATAACTTTACCTGAAACTTCGAAATAGAGCTCAATGGAACTTGGCCATAAATCCAGTTCGAACCAGTTTCCTTTTTAGAAACCCAAACTGGCATTTGTCGACCGTTGTCTGCTATCTGATAAATTGTCAGTGCTTTTTCTCCAGGTCCCTTCAACATGTAACGAAACCTTAAGCATTTGCTGTGCCCATAGTGTGATCTGCTGTATACTGGGCTCACAAGAACAGCGGCCTGGTTAAAGCCAGTTGCGTTGGTATCTATGACAAGTCGGTCACCTAAACAAATCAAACAGTCTGAGTTTAAAAGATCATTATGACTGCCAAATCACTTCATTGTGAATGGCTGAGGGCAAGAAAATCATTATTTAGTTTTTAATTTGTACTGCAGTACAAATAAACGTGGACGCGTTTGCAATTTTCTCAGTCACATGATAAATTAGTAATCGAATAAAAGCTCGTTCAATTAAAACAATTACACCACGATTTAAAAATTCTTTCAAATCGTACTCGCCGAAAGTCTCGAGCAATTTAGAGACCATATTCAAATATCAGTCGCACTGCAAATCCTTTACTGCACTAACATTCATTTGATTACTAAAACTAACTGGATTGACAAGAAAGAGGAAGTAAGAAAAGTTTGTTAATGGATAGCAAAAACAAACAACTCAGCATCAAATAAGCAGCTGTAAATAAATAAGGACCCGGTAAGAGTTAAATACTACATGGGCTTAGTATGCGCTTTGAGCAACATAGCTTACCTTGACGAACCAAATGCAAAAAGTTAGCGAGTGAAGTAACAATGTTTCACGAGATGAATAACGAATTTTATTACTTTCAGCATTTCATACAAATTGAATTAACTAAATTTAAATATGTAGAGATATCTGAGAGTAGATTCAGATTATGATTCTAATAAATTGTTAACTTCTGTTTTTGGGTTTTTCTCATTTTCAGATCTTCAGACAGATTTTACAAGGAGAAGCGTTCGAAATATTGGCAAACTCCTTAGGTTACTTGATCTTCTCAAGCTGTGATAGTATTGCCTGCTGCATGTTCACAGGATTAATTATTCTACTCAATTTTCGGAAACGCTAAAGTAGCCCACTGAAATTCGCCTTTAGTTGGGTTCTCAAACCTGAACTACATTACTTTCCATAATTACTCGCCTTTTCTATCGTTGCAAGTTCGAAACCATTGTACCGTAACGTTTTTCTTCAATCCTTGTTTAACTATTTCCCACGCCTTTGCGTTTCCTGCCTCATGACCACATCCATATGACATGCGCAATACCTCCTCTGCGATTATTGCATACGTCCACTCATTGAAGCCACTCAATTTTACAAGGTCATTGGACTCAGTTTTGTTTGTTGCTCTGAAGCCTATAGTCGTAGTTCCTATGCCTTAGGAGAGACATGTTGCTTATTAAGCCATATTAACCAAATATATGTAAATTTTTATGTTTGTTATCTCTTTCTGTTAGCTAATTCCTAAATTAGCAATTAACTTCAAGAAACAATGTCAAGATGAAAACGAGTCTGACAAAACCACCAACGTAAAACAAACGTAATTCTTCGTTACCTCCAATCCTCACATCAAGTGAGTCTGCTCGAAACTCATTTGATTGATAATTTCTTTCGCCATCTTTGAAGGATGCCAAGAGCCCGCGCTCACCTTCCCATACCACACAAACGTGATGCCACATGTCGTCTGTCACGCCCATTGGGATATTGCTGTGTAAAAAGAATTATAAACATGTCTGTTAGTGTGAGTGAATTAGTGATTGAATAAATTCTCCATATTTGTTTTGTTATTCTGTTGCAACTTGCAGGTGTGGTGAAACATAACTGTGTTAAAGAACAAAAAAAACAAACGGCTGTTATAACCTTGCCTCATCCTGCCCTTATTATCACGATACATCAGTTCCAAAGCTCAAAGAAAATCTAACAATCTGATCCCCCACATTTTAAAGGCAGTAACGAAAATAAATGGACAGTAGTAACAGACAGCATTCACTTAATAATCATAGAATAAATTTTCTTTATATCACTTAAAACAGTGTGAGAAAATAATTTGATACCTTCTTATGCTGCCAAATAGAATTTCAAAACTGCGGCTATGAAAGTAAAGCCCCAGCACCAGCGTAACATTTTGCTCTATAGAGGCGGCGACTTCGTATTCGATGAAAAAGCCACTGTGTTTCGTCTTCAACCAGAAGCAGATGGTAAAGTCGCTACCACGCCATGGGAAATGTGGGAATGACACGTAGCCACCACTGATGTCGGGAAGATGAATCTCGTAGTTGCCTGAGTCAAAGATTCCAAACAACACAACAAAAAACTCGAACATAAGCATAATAAAGAATTATTTGAAATAAATAATTCTTTCAATGTTTGAGAATGGCTCACAACATTTAGATCTTACGACTATAGAGGAAAAAGTGTTCAGTATTTGCTCGAAAGGTGCTCCAGAAGATTTGTCATATGACATACTGCTTCCACGTTATTTTGCTGTTTCAAACACTTGCAGTTTTGTAAAAAGCAAATTGTCGGGCTGCACTCTTGATAGAGCTATCGTTCAGTGGGCTTACTGATGGAATAGAGATCTGCGGGCGTTTGGAAAATTTTAAAGTAATTACCTTCGTCAATCTCATCTTGATGCTCCTGGTTAAGCTCTTTGTATTTGATTCTTTTCCAACCAAGCACATTTTTCCATCCACACCAGTCAACGGACATGTCACATAAACGGTCATCTAAATTGATTCATAATATAGTTCTCACGTTTCAGTGAATTATATTCAGGACAGATTAGGATGCTGGTGAAATGGTTGGGCAGATAATTCATGGTAGGCCACATATAATCGCCTTCCCCTTTACTCCTTAAATGCTAACCGCAAGCAAACAGCAGTAATTAAATGTTAACCGCAAGCAAACAGTAGTAAATAAATGCCAACTGCAATTAAACACAATATTTAAATGCTAACCGCAAGGAAACGGCAGTAAATAGAAGCAAACTGCAGGGAGACTATTTGGGTGGCCTACCATGAATTATATCCTAATGGTTGGTGCCCTGAACTGTCTTTAAGTCCTTAATAATTCATAAAGTTTAAACAAAGGAAATCATGACCGTGACGATGTTTGGATATCTGGTATTAAGAATTACGATTTTCTTGTCAGTTTTCTCCTTAGTTTTAGTTTCGATTGAGAAGATGTATCAACCACTCTGGACATTTTTAATCACATTTCCAAACACCTCGAAGTTCGTCAAATATACTCCGCTGTGCATCGTATTTTGAACTGCCTTCTCGGTGTTTGAAAATGTGCTCAAACATGGTCTTTCGTGTTTGATATTTATATTTAATTATATTAAGTGAAGGATAAGAAGACTTTCAACGTCTGAAATGAAATCTAATGAACTGTCTTCAATATTTAATTATATTGTAAACTTTTAGCAAGCGGTAATAGTCAACATATGCATAAAAGTACACACACAATAATTTATACAAAAGCAAACAATTGTCAAATACTTGTGAAATGTTCGTGGCTAGTCTGACGCGGCGTTTCGTCTCGGCCAAGAGACTCTTCAGTTGGGAATCCTTCTGCGATAGAGGGCCAGACTGTCAACATCAAGAATTTGCGAACGGGACTTTGGGCGTGATGCTCAACGCGTTTGCCTTTGAATTCTAAAGGTCTCTGAAGAGTCTCTTGGCCGAGACGAAACGCCGCGTCAGACTAGCCACGAACATTTCACAAGTATCACACAATAATGCAAGAGAAAATATCTCATTTCAGTCTTGTCTAGCCAGATATAGGAAAACATGCAAAAGCTAAAAAAATGACGGTGGAAAGCCTCCGATACCTTGACAGCCATACAGCTCCACTCTCATTGATATGTGACCAACCCATTCTTGTGGTAGAAAACGGATAAAACGTGCCCTGATTGGTGGGTTTAATTCATTGTGCACAACACTGTCCTGGTCTTCGTTCCCAGTAAAATTCTAAAATACAAAGATCGTAGCATGTAAAGGAATTATCGTCGTAAAAAATCGATCGCTACAATCTAGATCCTTTCATTAACCAACTAATCTTCACCTAGTCTAATAACTGGAGAACATCAGCATGACGAAGCGACAGGATTGATTACTTTATCAAAGAGTCCTCCTGAAAATGCTCCATTTAATCTCCTTCCCATTAGAAGGCGAATCCCGTTCGCTTTAAAACTGGTATGAAATGTAGAAAAAAAAAAAAACCAAAAAAAACCCCAGATCTTTAAATTTTTGGGAAGTTAGGTCGACATGCATTTCACCTTATCTGCAGTTTGTCCTTGTTCTCTGTAGTACTGGAAGTTCACACCATCGTTACTGTATTGCAGTTTGTACTTGGTTACCCACTCAAGGGAATCATTTCTTCCTTGTGTTGCCACACGTGTGACGTTGTTGTGCCGACTCCCTAGATCAATCTGGAGCCATTGATTTACATCGTTACTGCGAGCTGACCATGATCCTGCTTTGCCTGCAGTTGCTTTAAAGTGAAGTCTGGCCTGAGTAACAGCATGACTGGAATCTATTTGCGAAGAAGCACTAATTTGCCCATCAGAGATTGCGCCATTTGCCATGCCAAGAGCGTCTAGACAAGCTAAAGATTTTGTGGAGTAAGATTGTAACAACTTTAAAATAGATGAATAAAATGATGTATGGCTCTGCATATCGCCAGTCAAATAGCATACGAATTTTGAAACAGTCCGAACAGTCTTTTTTTTTTAATTTTACCACAGCATCTGAATTCTTCAGTATTTGACACTATTCTGTATCATGTTGTACATTTTATGTTTGTTTTACACATTTATTATTATTATTATTTTTAAGGGTAAGAGGAAAATCTCCTACGCTACCTGGACAGCCATACAACTCCACCCTCATCGATATGTGCTCATACCAAGCCTCTGGGAGGAAACGGATGTAACGTGCTCTGATTGGTGGGTTTAGTTCATGAAAAATTATAGTATCCCGGTCTGTGTTTCCAGTGAAATTCTAAATAAAAGCGACGTTAAACTGTTAGGATCTATTGTTTTACATCCCTATTGTTTAAATCCAGGACAATTATCCCCAAGCTGACGTCACTTCGTTCTAGCTGGTAGTAAGGTTTATAATTTTTACCCTAGTCGATTGATCTAGAAATATTGGTTTAAACTGCATAGAACACATCGATGCCAAAAAAACCAAACAAAACAAAGAAAAACTTAAAACTGAACTGTCTCAGACGCACGAGAATTCACACACTTCCATTATGAAAACGTCAGTTTTCGTTCCATCTACAAGATTCAGTCCCGCGAGCAAGTGGGATTAATACTTGATTACCTGACCGAGACAAGCCGCATTTATTTTTCTATTGCAACCACAGAAAAACTGTTCGATATTGTCGAAACGTCGACAAGTTTTGCTTGAGTCATAGTTATCTATTGGTCTTTACGTAACAAACTACGAAGAAATGTTTTCCTGTTTTTACCTAAACTTGCCTTCAACAACAACTCATCTTCTAAAGGCTTTTACATACCTGGTTGTTAAGACCTGGAACTCTGTGCTAGGTAATAATAATAATAAAGCTCTGTCCCTACATAATTTTATCACAGCAGCACGACTATGTAATTTCAATTAAGATAAAGTTTCTAATTTTTTGCATTACTCTATTTCCTTCTTTCTTTCGTTACAGTACGTTTATCTCGAAAATACTAGCCCATGTTAGCTATTTAAAAAAAAAAAAACGACTAGTGTAAATAAAGTCTTATTTACATTTGTATGTATGCATATGACCATTCTGAACTCACATTGTATGGTTGGACGTCTTGTTTTGCATGATTTGAGGAGAGTAAAAACCCAACTTTGCTACTTTTTTGAAATTAAAAAAACCGGTATAACAGTTGTCATCACGTGTCTTTTCATTGTCACACCATATCTGATGAACTGAGCGAAAAATAGTCAACCCCAGTTATTAACTACGCGTTGTTGGATTGCGTATATTGTACCTTATCTACAGTTTCTCCTCGTTCTCTGTAGTACTGGAAGGTCACTCCATCGTTACTGTACTGCAGCTTGTACTTGGTTACCCACTGATTGTAAGCATTCCTTCCTTGCGTTGCTACACGTGTCACTTTAGAGTACTGGCTACCCAGATCAACTTGCAACCATTGATGGAGATCATTTTTGCCAGCTGACCAAGATCCCGCTTTAAAAGAAATTCCTTGAAAGTGTAGTCTGCCCTGGAAGGGAGCATGATTGGAATCCCATTGCGAAGAAGCTTTAATTTGTTTGTCAGAGATTGCACCGCTTTCCATGCCGAGAGCTTGCCAACATCCTAAGGTTTTATAGCATGAATACAAAGTAAATCAAACATTGACATAAATTTGGAGAGTGATTCGTAGCTGTTCTATTTCTAGGTCCTCAGTCACCATGCAGCCCTGTAAGGACTATCTGCTGGGTTTACGACGTGCCATTTGTTGGTTGTACTTGTTTAACAACAACCCAATTTAGACATTAAAATGTATCTTGACTCCGCAGCTAGGGGAAATACACCGATTCACATCCAGGTTGACGGACGAATAAATAGTGCTATATTCCTCCAAGCCTTGGCACCAAGTTAGGTTTTTAATAAATCAGAACTGACCTATTTAAACATTTAGAAGGGTTTACCAGGCCTCTTGTTCGATCAGCACCAGTTGGGGAAAAGTGGTTTTTCCATTGTATGGGAACGGTCAATTTACAAATTAAAGTGAGTTGTTCCAATTTTTGACGATTTCTCGCTCTTTCAATCTCTCATTTCCACACTCAAGTGCCATAGCACATATCATTGCAGAATATTCCAAAGGATACTCTATACTAATATAAGGTTTCAAAAGCAGACTTTATGACCGTCGCTCACATGCTTCTAGAAGATAATCATTCAGTTATAGGAATGTTAAGACCACTCCTATTATCATCATAAAAATAATAAAGAAAACCATTACCTCCCACAGTACCATGCAGACACCCATATAACTCCACTCTCATTGATATCAACCCCCTCCAATATACTGGTTGGAAACGGATATAACGTACGGCTCTGATTGCTGGGTTTAGGTTACGACGGACAACAGTGTTCCGGTCTCTATTTCCACTAAAAATCTACATCAGAGAAAAAGTATAAGGATTTTTATAACATGATCGGTTCTTGTAGGATCATGGTAAGATCTTTATAGTACCGTGTTCCATAAAATCATCAGCGCAAACTTACAATAAATAAATACAACACTAACCAGAACGTTTTTTCGCTCGTTCTAAACAAGGAAAATCCTTGTAAATTTCGAAAATAGTCAACGATGAAAAAAAATGTATTTTTTTTTATAGTGGCCATGCATTTAGCTATACAAGCACTACGCTTAGCTAGTTTACAGGCATACCACTGAAATAAAAGAAAACAAATATTTCAAATAAACGTAATATATATAGTTAAAAAGCCTAGCTGGCAGAGGCAGACCAGTCGGCTATTTACAAAGCGTGACCGAGGATTTGAACTCGGGACCACCGAGAAACAAATCCCGCTAGTGGCAGGGTAGAAGCTTTGAACCGGGACCTCCGGATTACAACACAAGTGCCCTAAACCACTCGGCCACGCTGCCTCCGTATGTGCCTCTTTTGGTGGGATTTTGTAGCCCCTCAAAGCATTGATTAAACACCACTCAAACAGAGCAGAGAGGGAGAGAGAGTGTGCGTTTGTCCAAAAAGAATTTATTCATGCCTTTCACTGTACACTGTATCAATCGAATAACATCTGTACATTTATCTCCAACCTCCGGCGTGCATCATTTACCTCGATACACGTGTGCGAAACATGAACCAGACCTCATCTATCTCACCCCAGCAAATTCTTACATCAAACAATTGTTGGGTAGTGATTTTAAAGAAACAATGTAAACAAAAAAACCTTAGAGTAAGATGCTTAAAGCAAAAACTTAACTTAAAAATATTAAGTAAACAAACCTGAAGATCGTAAACTTGAAGCCGTTTATATCTGTATTATCTCACCTTAACTGAAGTTTGACCATTCTTTCTGTAGTACTGAAACGTCCCTCCTTTGTCACTGAACATCAGCTTGTACCGGATTACCCAGAAATTGATATCACTTCTTCCTTGCGTTGCGACACCTGTTACATCGGTCAGCTGATCTCCCAGGAAGACCTCCAGCCATTGATTTAAATCATTTCTGCGAGCTGACCAAGATCCTGACTTCCGTGGAATAACTTTAAAGTTAAGTCTGCCCTGGATGGCGGCATGATTGGAATCCCATTCCGACGAAGCACTAATTTGTGCGTTAGAGATTGCACCGGTTCTCATACCTAGAGCTTCTTGGCATTCTAAGAATTTTGTGAAATTGAAATAAAACATTAAATTATATAACTGAGAAAACTATTTAATGTTATTGACTGAGAGCAGGCAAATTTATCGGAATTAAATTGATTTATCATTGATTTTTAAGGAGGCTGACTCAGAATATTTTTTCTAATTATGTTTATTATTGTTAACTAAGAGTTCTAAACTTCAAATTGGGTGAGCAGCAGTCTTCTATTGCTGGGCACTAACTGGACCTCGCTCGACACCAACGAGAGGTAACGGGACTCTTGAAGCTTTACTGAGTTTACTTCTTCTACTACTTCTCCTTCTACTTTGCAATTCACAATGCTACGCCTGGAATTCAAGCCAAGGGTGAAACAGATGGTACAAAACAGATGTAAACCCCAAACGAACGCATCTGAAGAGGTCTTGTGCGCGATTACGTAACATGCTCAAAATTTACCCCTAGGCCTCGTTTGCGCGACATTTTCTCAAACCGTCGTTGCCTTCGTGTTGTTTTCACGTGAGTATCCTTTTCATCTTTGCTACTTTGGGAATTAGTTCATAAAATTTTAGATTTGCATTCTCAAACCGAGGCTTGGTGGTGATTTTAGCTAGTCTGCTGTCATCACGCATAAGGGCTATTGATAAGGCAAGCAAAGATTAACCCATTGCTGGAAAACTAGAAACAAAAAATAATCTTAAGCCACAGCTAACCTTGGATCTACCTAGGGGAGGTAATAGCCAAGGTCGCAAAAACGACACGAACGTGTACGCGGTTAACTTTCGTACACAAAGTTCCAGAATAAAACGTATCTAAGGCAAACGGAAGAGGCGTTCAAGAATCGAGTGTGACACATATCTGAGTTAAGCTTAGCTTGCTTTCTTAAAAACATATTTTGTAAATATTTGGCTCTACAACGCCAATATCAAAGAAGGATGATTTCCGAGCATTATAAATAACATTTTATACAAACTGAGATAAACTTGAAAATTTCCGAGTCAATGTTTTCGAGTTTAGCCTATTACATTCCGTTTTATTCTACTTCAATTTTGCCCATCCGTGTCCCCTCTTTGGCTCTTCTGTGTTTCTTTTGAGATCCTCTGCGGTGTTCAGCTGTTATTGTCACTTCCCAGTTAATTCTGTCTAGTTAGTATGAGCTGAAATTGTTCACAATTGGACAAGTTAGCCCCCTTAATTTGTCATGTACCACATTATATTCTTCCCTGAATTTTAGGTCGAATGGTTCGCATTTCGGAAATTCGACAATTTTTAGCTTTTCCGGAATCTTCTCCTTACCATATGCCCTCGTTTCGGCATTTCCGGAGGTTTGGTTGAATTGCAAGCGCCCCTTGGATCAGCGTACCATCCAGCTTCATGAAATCGGAAATTACGGCTGGCCTGATGGGCCACTAGGCTTAAACGCAGAGTTTTACTTTTACTTTTACTTTTACTTCAACCTCTTACCTCTTAGTAGAACGTAAACACCTTATCATCATACAAGTTAGATTAAAGTAAGTTTATTTTTTAATCGAGAATAAAAATAAAAACCTTCTACCTCCATGACAACCATAAAGCTCAGCCCTCAGTGATATGGCGTTATACCAAGACTCTGGTCGAAAACGGATATAACGTGCCCTGATTGGTGGGTTTAAGTCATGATAAACAACAGTGTCAGTGTCTGTGTTTCCAGAAAATTCCTGAAAACGTAAGACGGTAATATATCATTTTCAAATCTTACTGCGTAAAGTTTTGTTATTCCCCTACACATTTCATCGCCTCTTTAAAACCAGTTCGTCAAAAAATTACAATTCAAGAAGCCCAAAAACCTTATCACACCTTATCTGCAGTTTGTCCTTGTTCCCTGTAGTAGTGGAAGTTCACTCCATCGTCACAATACTGCAGCTTGTAGCGTTCTACCCACTGGCAACAACCACCATTTCGCCCTTGCGTTGCTACTCGTGTCACCTTAGTGAACCGACTGCCCAAATCAACCTGGAGCCATTGATGGAGATCTCCTCTGGCAGCTACCCAACTTCCCTGTTTATTTTCACTTGCTTGAAAGTGTAGTCTGCCCTGGAAGGGAGCATGCTTTTCATCCCATTGTGAAGAAGCAGTAATTTGACCGTCAAGGATTGCACCGTTTTCCATGCCGAGATCTTCTTGACATGCTAATAATTTAATTGAATCAATGAAAATAGTTGGTAACAGTTTTTGGAACTATAAGTTCCCTATATATATTGTTGTCGCAACAATGGAATCAGTTGTCTTGTCAATTTTACTAATTTGTCGCAGTTGCTCACCAAATGTAGGAAGAAGTCCTTATTTACGAGACAGTGCTTGCGTGACTCGCTTGCAACATTTCCTTTTCACAACTGCCTAAATGGTTTTAATTAATATTTTTTAGGCATAGTATCATTTTCTCCCACAGAGCTTCACTCAAATGATACACGGTTCTTTTACAAAAAAAGGCTTTACTAATTAGCTAAATGGACAGGAATCCGATGATAGTCTCAAACCAAACGTGAATCATGCTGTTGCTTGCTCGTTAAAATGGCATGCACAGTTTCAGAAGCCTTTCGTTAACTATTAGTCTCTGACGTCTACCGATAATTAACTTCCCACCTTAACAATGCCAAACATTGTAACTGCATGTATTAATTGCTAGAAGATTTAGTGTGTTTGCCAAAATGCAAAATCCAACCTCTCCGACAGCCATACAGCTCCACCCTCATTGATATGTGGCCATGCCAAGCCTCTGGTCTAAAGCGCATGTAGCGTGCTCTGATTGGAGGATTTAACTCATGGTAGACAACAGAGTACTGGTCTGTGTTTCCCGCAAAATCCTACGTCAGAAAGATGGCATTGTTTTTGAATCTATCACTTTAAAAATTTCTACCTAAATATTGTATAGTCGCGACCAAAATTAAGGTAGCTAAATTGTTCGTTTGCAGTTATCCAATTTAGGCTGCTTTACACAAGGAAAGATAAGTGAAATGGGGCTTTATCATCGTTCGCCCATTCTAATTGTTAAGCGACTGTTGTTGTTATTGTTGTTGTTGTTGTTGCTATAGAACTAATCCTTCTCTTAAAATTTACAAGTTCATGGTACTACAAACGTATTCTGACCTTTTTTTCCTTTTTTCTTTGTTCCATGTAATAGTGGAAGGTCTCTCCGTCGTTACTGTACTGCAGTTTGTACTTGGTTACCCACTGTGGTGAATCGTCACTACCTTGAGTTGCTACAAGTGTCACTTTAGTGTGCTGACTGCCCAGATCAACCTGCAGCCATTGACTGGAATCATTGCTGCCAGCTGACCAAGAGCCTGCTTTGTTTGCCGTTGCTTTAAAGTTTAGTCTGCCTTGGATGGCAGCGTGATTGGCATCCAGTTGCGAAGAGGCAGTAATTTGTCTGTCAGAGATCGCACTGTTTTCCATGCCGAGATCTTTTCGGCATTCTAAATAATTGAAACATTTTAAGGAAAAGTACATTTCATGGAAAACTAGCCTGCCTGTTCAAGGCGCAGGTAAAGAAAATAATGATATAAAAAAGAAACAAACAAACTAGGCTATACCAGAAGTAATAAAGAAATATTACCAATCGATTGCTGGGAAACTCATTCGTTAAAAAAGGGTCTTATTTCAATCTTACCTCCATCTTGTTTCCAAGGAATTTGTTTACATGGCTCTTTGGAGAAGGAAACGTCATCAATGGCTAAAAACTGTCCACCAGGTAACTCATTGAAGCCCTCAAAAAAAATCTATATCACATACCAGGAAAATCATAAAGGTGCATAAGTGCTGGCCAAAGTAAGGTAGATCTACTGCAATTAATATCTACTTACTCAATGGATGATGGGTATTAGTATAATTTCCAGAGGTGAATATAAGAATGGGACATTCCGATTGGTCGAAAAACTTGGCTTATGACGCTTTATTCATCGCGCTAGGCGGTGAATATAACATTTCCGCGCTTGGTTACTAAGCTAGCCACCTTTGCCATCTCGGCAAGTAAACATGGCGGACAGTTGCCGCATCAAATTTTCGTATATTCCAAAGACATCACTTCAAGTCCAGGATACAGTGAAACCTGTATTAAGCGGACCCCATATTAAGCGGACACCCTCTATTAAGTGGACACCAGCTTAAGTCCTAAAATTTCCTTCCCACAATTACTGTAAAATAAACCTGCATTCAGCGGACACCCCTGTTAAGCAGACGCGGACACCAATATTAAGCTATTTTGTTGCACAAAACCTGCATTAAGCGGAAACTTCAAGGGCATTTTACTTCTAAAAGTTCAGCTGAGACTCCTTTAACATTATCCAGCGATACATACATACATACATTTTATTTCAACTCGAATTATCAGAGTAGCTCTATTGAGCTAACATCTTCGAGAAAGAATAAAATAAAATAAAAATACATAAATCAATTAAATGATCCAAATACAATAATTGAAACTACTACTAATACAATAAATATAACTACTACTAAAAGTTCATTTTCTTTATGACTGTCTTAAAATCTTTAAATGATGTTATTCTTTAAGCGATGTCGTTTTAAAGGTAAGTGATTAATCCAGATTGATGCATTGACTGACTGGACATTCTCCTATGAGCAGTGTTTGATCTTACAGTGTGTTAGTGTGATACAAAAGAGTTAACAGCTAACTATTGTTGCACAACATATTAGAACCTGCTTAGATCGGACATCATGTATTAAGCGGACACAAGTGAGGGTCCCAAGGGTGTCTGCTTAATGCAGGTTTCACTGTATTTGAAAGCATGGAAAATTTTCAGTATGACTGTTGTTGCTCTTGGACCAAAAATCTTTTCAAGAACTCGTATTCAAGGCATTTAAGAATGACAATCACAGTTGTTTATCGCCAGCAGGTCAGTTCGAGTGACCGAAATTCATTTCTCTTCAAACTGAAGCTACTTATTTTGAGACGATGACGACAACTGTGAATGAAGTCAACAACGATGTAACAAAGGTACCGGATGAATTTATTTTTCGTACTGTTTCAGTTGCTTGTGTTACTGCCGAACTCGATGTGTAAATTGATTCACATTCGATGTCAGCTTAGATGTAAGATTATTATTAAAACTACGGCTGCATACGTGTAGGTAAACGAACAATTGCGTCTGTGTTTTTATGTTTTAGTCTGTTATTTTGCAGTTCTTGATATTGACCTCTAATTATATTATTAAATTATACTAAATCAATTATTCGCCTCATGCGCAGTGAAATTGGTGAGCATTTACCTCGACTTCGTCTCGGTAAATATTCACCAACGGTCACTTCGCCTTCGGCGAATAATTGTTAAATAGAAACTGGTTTAGAAGCAATCATTGAAAGAAAATTGACAATTTAAGGTATTACGAGTAAATGACATAACGTACATTTTTCGAAAATCTCTCACTTCAGCTATGCAAGAGAAGTAAACAATCATATTTTACTTGGTGTACGACCAGTAAGTAAGTTAGAGGTTTCTTAATACCTGTGAGTTAGTGGAATTTCTCGATAAGGGTATCTGTGTATACCGCGCTTTATCTGTCACTTCATCCGCAAAAAAAAGCACCATTGCTTGGTTTGATGTCACTGTCCTCAGTAACAACATCAACGACGTTGTATACCAGTCTCGAGCATCAGTAGCGCCAATGAAATACCAGAAACGTAAACACTTCCATTCGTAGTAATGGACGTTGATGACGGGAGATGAGAGGGAGGAACGCGAGTCAGATGCTCCAGCAGGAAGAGAGGCAACGAATCCACCTGATAACAGAAGGTAACACGGTGCAATAGTTAAATCTTACCACGCGTTTTAAGAAACACTGATTTCAATTAGCCAAGCGTGTCTATCAGTTTTGATAGACATGTCTGCCGCAGTTCCTAATTTAGGGCCCATTTTCCTCTGACTCATATTCATTAATTATCGTACTATTCGTCAAGAATCAACCTGTCTCATCATTGTTTGAAACAAAACAATTTTTTTTTTATTCACAAAGAGAGCAACTTCTAAGGACACTGTTGTGCTGCAAATACGAAATTGAAATGAGTTGTAAAAGGTGAATTAATTTACACGAAGAAATTTGAAAAGTAGACGCTGGGCACAGACTGGGACTTTCTGTTCACTAACGCACTGAAAATACCAAAATCTCAGAACACACAAAAACTCTTACCTTGTTTTCTCTTATCTACGGGGATCAACAAACGCTTCTCGTTTATTTTTTTTAAAACTTATTTATGCATTCTCCGTTAGGGTCGATTTACACGGTACGACTTTGTCGCATACGACAAGCTTACGACAGGCCTACGACATGAACTGTTTTCGTGTAAATCAAACCTACAACTCGCTTACGACTGTTGTGTACGTCAAAAAAATGTCGTAGGATTTTAAAACATGTTTTAAAACGCTGCGAGAATCG